TATAAAGTTTGCGTCGTCTACAAAATTAGTCTTTAAATTGAACAATTTTTCCCAATGGACAGACGGACGTCTAAAATGGTCCGTTCGGACGTCCATTGAACGTACCAAATGAAACGACTTTTGTCCGTCCATTTCAAATCTATAAAGTACGTCTAAGGACGTCCAAACCATTTTAATTGTTTTTCGTGGAATCACGCCTCTTACTCCTCTCATTTGAGTAACCTTAAAATTATTAGAATAAATTAATTACCTTTTTTTTACAAGTTTTTCTAATATATATATATATATATAAATTAATTACCTTTTTTTTACAAGTACTAATATATATATATATATATATATATATATATATATATATATATATATATATATATATATATATATATATATATATATATATATATATATATATATATATATATATATACATATGACGAGGAGATATTAGGATGCGCTTCATTAATGGAGGGTAGATGTCCATATATATATATATATATATATATATATATATATATATATATATATATATATATATATATATATATATATATATATATATATATATATATATATATATATATATATAAATATATATATATATATATATATATATATAATGGAGGGTAGATGTCCATATATGGACATCTACCCTCCATTAATGAAGCGCATCCTAATAACTCCTCGTCAGTTCCCTGTGTCGTATCATCAAGCATCTTAATAAATAAATCTTTATGCAATACTTAAATACCTAATTATTTCCTCGTGTATCTCGGTTGCACATTTGGTTAGAAAATTTTAGCAAACTGACTTGTGTTAATCTTCATTGCCAGTTTGATAAAACAGACTGGTCTGAAGAAGCAGTTATATAATTTTTAAATTTAATACGAAATTTTTACTGGGAAGTAAAAAAAAACGCGGGAGTAAAAATCTCATGCTACACTGGCAAGAAAATTTGACACGCGACTCGTTTGATAGCTACTCTCAAATTAACAAATTAATACCATAGCCACATATGGATGGCACCATGTGTGGCTATGGTATTAATACCACTTAAGTGGTTGCTACATATAATGCTTATAACACTAATTATAAATACCATAGCCATACATGGCTTACATCTACGGCATATAAATCAGGTGTGGTTGTCAAATGAGTCATGTATCAAATTTTAATGCGGGAAACGTATCCTTTTATAAATTTTACGCCGGTCAAGATTTTAAATAAAATTTCTTATTTATAATGAAAATTTATGATTAAAAAATTGGTTTAAATAAAATACGCTGTTTGTTATTTTGGTAAATGGGGCTATTATTAGCTAATTAAGTTTAAACTGACCAATAACTCTAACTTTATTTATTCAATTATAGGTATTACATTGTAGTTATAAATGGGCAACGTAAAACATGCCAACTATCAGTTTGTACATTGAAAATTAGCATCAAAAAAAATATTTATTTTTTGATGCTAAGTTATTTGCTTCCAGCTCATTTGTCACACATTCTGCAACCACTACATGTCAGTATTTATTGCTATGTCAAAAGTCTTTGACCCAAATTATTTTGATAATTCTGTACCGAGACAAAGTTCTCAATAAAATTATTTAGTAAACTGCAAGCTAAGTTTTTCATTTTGATAAAGTTTTTACACGCAAGTTTCAAAATAGCTTCTTGTATCCGCTCGACATCAATATAATTGATTACTCAAAATTGCATATTGCTAATACGATTGAAACATCATCATCTCAATCTGAGCTTTCACCATTTCATCCACTAGAATTTATTTCAGTACTATATCTACCAAGATTTCTTTAACTACACATCAATGCTTTTTAGATCTACACCAACAACAGTCAATTCGCCTGCAATCGACCTTCATTATTATTGTAACTACGGCTATTCAAAAGAAATTCAAAAAGGTGTTGAAAATCAATTGTAATTGGCCAATTGTTTACAGCAATTTTGCAACAACTTTTTCGCATCCAGCACTTTATAAATATACTGTATTGGACAAAACATTTGCAACCAACATCGAACAATGCTAAAAAGTGTTCCTAATTTTACATGTCTTAAAAACGAAACGAACTATACTACAACAGCAAACAGTTCAGGAGTCTGAAGTCATAGCATGCTATGGCATGAGCAATCAGCTGACAGGTGAAAGCACACAGGCAGAATTTTGTTGACAAGTGCCATTTTGCTGCGGACAAAACAAGTGCAACTTATTTGGTTTGTTTTATTTTCTTAAGTCTGGTCCGTGTCAACGTCACGGAGGTTTTTTAATAAATAAAGGAAGTATCCAGAAGTTTCCTGAAGCATGCAGAACCTTCCAGAAGTTTCCAGAAGAAGCATCTGGAAGCATCCAGAAGTATCCAGAAACATTCTGAAGCATCCAAGTGCAAAAATGGCTCCCGACAGTCTTGGATTGGAACTAAGAAAAAAATTATTGGCAATTACGTAAGTGGAATGTCACAAAAAAGTATTTGTGATAAATATCGCGTGAAAAAATGGACCGTATCAAGACTATGATCCATATATCGTTCTGCGGGGAAGTTGGCAGCAGATAACAAAATTGGAAGACCGTGTTCCACCACTTCTAAAAAGGATTCTATGATCGTCAGATCCGTCAAGAAGGATCCCTGGATATCATCAGTCAAGATACAAAAGCAATTAGAGCTGCCTGTATCGGACCGAACAATCAGACGACATGCTGTTAAAGCCGGATTGTTTTCTCGACGCCCTGCAAAAAACCGCTGATTTCACTAAAGAACCAGAAGAAAAGACTCCTGACTGGAATATGCAGAAATAGCGAACTGTCCTGTTCAGTGATGAATCGATGTTCGACATCATTGGGAGCGATGACATTTGCCGTGTACGTCGACCGGCCGGGAAACGCCTCGATTTACGTTACTGCTGTAAGACCATGAAGCATCGAGGAGGCAATGTAATGGACTGGGGGTGTTTTTCTGCTAACGATGTAGGTCCAATACATTGAATCGATGGAATAATGGACCGTTTCATGTATAAAAATATCCTGAAAGATGTTATGTTACCTCATGCTGAATGGAATATGCCAATAAAATGTTTTTTCAGCAAGACAACAATTCGAAACACATTGCAAAAGTAGTCAAGCAGTTGTTTCAAGACAACCATCTATCGGTGATTGGATCTCAACCTTATCGTGAACCTGTGGGATTGTCAACCGCAGACTTAATCGTGAACGTGTTTGTAATAAGGATCAACTGTTTGAAAAAATCCAAAAGGTCTGGGCAGCAATTCCACTAAGTTTCATTGATCACCTGATCGAATCTATGTTTCCGACAGTCTTGTCAGAGCTGCATTTAGGGCTCAGAAAGTTGTTAAAACAGATGAACAAGAACTGGTTACAGTAAAATGAAGGCTTACTCACTAAATCCAACAAATCCATAAAAATGTTAGATTACATTACATTAGATGTACATTAAATGTTCTCAGTCTTAAAATGCGATGTTTAAGATGACTAATATCAAATAATAAGTAAAAAATTGTTGAAGAAACTTTATGGATTATACAGTATTTCCACAACATTCATGATCTTTTAAAAAAATCCAAATTAGATGAATGAGAATAAGACAGTTTGTCCTCTTTAGAATATTCTAAACCATAATTTGTAGCATGCTAAACAATTCCTAAAAAGTTCTAGAAAGCTTTCTTCGTGATCAAAAAGGAATTTTTGCATATTCTTAAATAGTACGGCGTGCTGGGGCTTATAGTAGGATATGTAGGGTGTGCTGGGGCTTTAAACTAGAGTGTTTACAACCAAAAGTACAATGACACCGATCTACATGAGACAATAAAAAATGAAAAAAGGATGTTTCTGACTGCGTAGTGTACAAAAACTTTTAACAAACAAATTCTGGTTAAACAAAAACCCAACAAGTGCCCACTTTTACCCACCAGCTAATCATCAGTACAAGAAGGAGCCCAAGTAGATTTAAACTTTAGATCTTAACCCCTCTTCTTATCAAAGTTGTGGATATGATGACATTATGCTTACGATGACATTACTGCAAAACAAGCACATATAGATTCAGAAGTTTTTGATAATATTGTTAGCTTGGATACAGTACTTGTAAAAAAAATTTAAAAGACTGAGAACTACTCTTAAACTATTTTGGTTATGATATTGATCCTGAAATTTTTTTAGAACTACTGTATAGATAATAATTTTTCCTCTCTATAATTGGTGTCACCTATTGTTAACAAAAATCTGGAGCACAGAGTTCAAATATCTATTGTTAACAAAACATTTATTTTAATTTTAAAACAAATATTTTACTTGTATTTCATACAATTTAGTTTTTTAAAAATAATAATAATAATAATAATAATAATAATAATAATAATAATAATAATAATAATAAGTATATGTATATTACGTTTTGTTACATATTGTGAACGATTTGCGACATAATGTGAACGTTTTGTTTCATCCGATATCGATAGGAACGTTTTGTTACAAAATCGGAACGTTTTGTTACATGGACATGTTACAAAACGTTCCTACAGTTGAAAGTAGGAACTATTTGATACATCGATTTATAATCTCGGTTACCGTGACATACGATAGTTCACCGTGATCAATCCACCATATTTAAATTTAGAAATCGAACGCTGAAAAACGTTAAAAATGCAAATCATTTAATTTTGTAAATAATTTGTTAGCCCTTATCTTAAAACTAGTATGATAGATTATAATTTTTCTTTTGTTGCTTTTTTTTATAAACTAGTGCTTATTAGTTACTGATTTCATTAATTACGCTTGTTTTACTTATATTCAAAGTATTTTTATTCAATAGATTGTTATAATCAGTAATGTTAAATATAATTTTGTCAGTTTTATTTGCAAATAATAATAATAATTGCATAAAATACTTTTAAATTTGTATTTTGAAACTAAGTGGTTTATTTTCCAATTTTTTATCAAATTTTTAATCAGGTTTTTATATTTTATGTACTTTATAGGAAAAAAAATGAGTCTCAGAAAATCATTGCGATCGAGCTCAAGTTTCATTAATCCCGATAGTGTTGCAATATATTATTGCCAAAATAAGTTAGATCCAGAGTTCTTAGTGAAAAAGTTTATAAATAGTGCTATTGGTAAGAGACTTTAATAAAACCTTTAGAGTTATTCAAGAAGATGAGTTTTTTAAAACTATACACTCATTAGAGTAAAGAATGTATTGTTGTTAAAATTAAGTTTTACTAACAAATACAAAATTATTATTTCTATATTTAAACAAGTATGTAATAGATTCTAATGCAATTTTATAAAAAGATAAATAAACAAGTATTAAATAAAAACTATATCAAGAAACTTTTAGAAAACTTTTTAGAACTTTTAAAACTTCTAAACTTTAGATAAACTTTAGACTTTAATAAGACATTTATTAGTAAATTTTTTTTAACTTTTAATTTTAAAGCATTTTTTAATTAAAAACAATATTTTCTTTTGTAATTTGTACAACTAACTGCTTATAATTTTTTGCAGTACAAGTACAAAGAGCTGCAAAAACAAGGAAATACACATCACTAATCATAAATACATCATACTACAAAGAAATGCACATCTTAAATTAGGAAAATACAATTAGAGGAAAGAATTTAAACAGCTTAAGTAATCTGGGAAAACAACAGTGTTTAAAAAAATTTTATGAGCTCATTTACTTTGTAAAGATATGATTTAACTAAATTAGAATATTTGACATATCAAAAGCTAGGATTTAATAGCTCACAGTGACAAACCCCAAGTTTATTTGGGGATACCCCTTTTTTTTCTGCAATGTCTGTAGAGGGGGGGGGGGAGAAAGGAGTGTTTTAGAGATTCCCTCCTCTCCTACTCCCTTAATTAAAACAGGTCATTTTAATTTGTGTTTATCTTGTTTAGTTTTATCTGAAGATTAAGAGTTGATTTAAAGCATTTCTTTAAATACATGAATTTACCAGTGGATGTAACTTGTTACCATGTTACTTTCGTTACAATAAGAAAACTATGTTACTTAAGAGTTTAAAAAATGTTTTTGTTACAATTACCATGCTATTTGTAAATAATTGCTGAAAAGTATTTTTAACATTAGTTAACTATATTTTAGTAAATTTAGTTTTAGTAGTTAATAATGATTTAAGTAATTAGTAATTAAATGTTTAAATACTTTAAACAATTTTTAATCAATATTTAGATTGCATATTTTTTTTACATAAATTGAATCGCATAGTATTTTAAAAAATTAACAAAATAGTTTTACATCTTGTATTCGAATATAAAACATCCAGATTTAATAAACATATTTACTGTTATTTTAATTTTAAAATCTTGATTTAAATAATAGCAAATCTGTTCATTTAACTTTTACTAAAGGTTAATAATTTTTATAGTGATTTTAAGGCGCCTATTAAATTGAACATAATTATAAAAGAGATATTTACGGTAAACGTAGTTTTAAAAATGTTATATTTTTTTGATTAAAAACCATATTATGTTTAAAAAATATACTTAATAATATATATAAAATTATGTTTAATAAATAAGTTACATTTACTTAGGATTTATTTAAACATTAAAAACGTTGAATTTTAAAAATAAATAGATTTTAATAAAACTTTTGTTAAGTTATTGTAATCATTATTTTTATTATTATTTAAGTCAAAAAGAATATGGAAAAGAAACAAAACTTTCTGAAATAGTTTATGTTTCGTTTTTTCTTTTTCCTCAAGTAAACTAAAATAGCAAGCTAAAGATTAAAAGTTCATTCATTCCAAAATTAAATTTGTGTGATAGTTGTTAAAACAGAAATTTACTTTTGTTTATTCATTATCAAAAGCACTTCACTCTTAGGGCCTGATTATATGAGGAAATATGTCCTTCTTTGCTGAGATGAAAACTTCCAGTTTTTAAAAAACTCTAATCGATTAAATGTAAAAAAAGTCTCAATAAAATTTCTAGAAAGTTAAAAAAAAAAGGCAGAAAAATTGTCGAGGCTTGGAGGTTTATAGGCTTATATGTTAAAAAAGATGTTAAAAATACAATGGTAGACTATAATTAATAGTCTACTAACAGTTTAACTAGTATTCTTATTTTGTTGATTAAAAGTAATTTTGTGGTAATTAAGTAAATTGGTGTAGTTCATAAAAAGCTTCAGTCAATAAATATGAAAAGCAAATTTAATTTAATGACAATGGTAGACTATAGTTAATAGTCTGCTAACAGTTTATTTAGTGTTTTTATTAATTTAAAAAAATAATGAATTTTTATTTTGTTTTTATAAAACAAACGTTTTTTTTGTTTTGTTTTGATATAAAAACAAAGCATAAACAAACATTTTTTTTGTTTTGTTTTATTAAAAAAAACTTTCTATTTGATCAAAAATTTACTAATTTGTATTTTTGAAACATTTTCTTAACAAAAAAGTAGTTGCTTCTTGAAAAGAATTATTTATACTATTGTTTTTATGCAGTTATAATTGAATTGTTATCAATATTGACAACTTTATAGAAAAAATTTGTCTCGCTTAGGCAAGATAATGCAATTACATGATAAAAAATGTCCCGTTTAAACGAGTTTCCCTGTTAAAGCGGGACTCTTGGAAGAAAAAATAAAGTGGCTAAAATAAAGTGAAAGTTATTTATATACTATTGCATTTAAAACCAATTTTTTTTTTATAACTAATAAAAAGCAAAAGAAAAATTAAAAGAAAAAATAATTTATGGGAGCTTTTTTTTGGGCGCCCATACCGCTCCAGCAGTACTAAAACAGGTCTGGGTTCGTCCCTGGCTCAGTTGGTTAGTGCGATTTTATTTCAATTTCCTAAAATCTCCTAAAATTTAGATTTTTTTTTAAGTTTCCTGATAAAATCTCCTTAAAAACCTTGCAAATTTTCCTCCCAAGTTTTTTTTAGAAACATACAGTGCCACCTTGGGTGAGTTTAGATAAAATTTTAAACCTCGTTAAATTTCATTTTTAGGTTTTGGTGTCTTTGTGACAAAAGACATATCTTCTGGAGAATTTTTATGCGAATATGATGGCATTTTATCCGATAAAGAGCCAAATAATAGTCAAACTAACAACTATTTATTTTCAAATATTGCTCATTGCGGAAAAAAGTTTTAGTAAGTAAAGCAAATACAACATAAATACTTTTGTTATTTTACTTTATTTGATTAACAGCTATAGCTTTACCTTATATTTATTAACTTAGTTTTAATCAAATACAATACAAAAGATACAAGTAATGCAAATATATATATATATATATATATATATATATATAATATATATATATATATATATATATATATATATATATATATATATATATATATATATATATATATATATAGAGAGAGAGAGAGAGAGAGAGAGAGAGAGAGTCAGGCCTTGTGATAAAGCGTCGGGTGATTTTAGGTTGTCCAAGGGCGTTTTTATGTGTCGCTAGGGCTATTTACGTCAAGCAAAAACTTTTTTGTTTGAGTATATTTAAATATATTATTAAGTGGAATTTTGATTAAGTTATTTACGATTATTAACATTCAATAAAGTAATTGATGTTTTAAAAACTGCACACAGTTGTTATAAAAGTTGGAATTACAAAAAAATTGAATATGCTCATTATTTACAAGTAGAAAAAAGTCAGATTAAAAAAAAAGTTTAAATTTTTTTATGCTAGCATTAAATAAAACCATTTAACAATAGCAAAATTGTTGATTAAATTGGACGAAAATACTTTCTTTTAGATTTTTAACTTAAATAAATATTTTAAGTGGGTTTGTTAGACTTTAAAATTGTTCCATAGATTTTAAAATATTTATTAACTAATGTTAGATGTATTTAAGGTATTAACGAGTCATTTCGAAGAAACATTTTAAATATTGGTAAGAGCAAATAAAAAAATAAAAGGATACATTGAAAGCTTATATGAATAAATAATATTAAAACATATTTTACTTAATTCAATTAAAAAAATACAGCAATTTAAACTCAAAAAAAATTACTTGAAAACAATAACAATCGCTTTTTTATTACAAGTTACGAAAATCAACAAAGCATGCTCAAGAACAACTATCAAAAAATAGAACGTCAATAGCTTGATGAGTTTATAATCTGGTTTTGTTACCCGGTATCTACTGATGTAAGGTGAATTTCCACAAACATCCTCAATAATCGCAAAAAAATTATGTATTCATATGCCATTTTATAAAACATAAAAGTAAATTTAAAATAAAATAATAGTATAAAAGTTTATATAGAAAATAAAATTAACGCTCGTATTTAACCACGTAATGTTTTTTTTGTTATTATTTTAGTACACTTAAATATTAAATAGCAAATTATATATTGTTCAATAAGCAAATTTTATTTTTCTTGCTGAAATATCACTTGTATACCTATAAGATTTTTATTCTAACATTTTATTTTGTTTTACTAAAAATGTAATTCCTTGTAAACATTAATCTGTTCAAAGCGTTCGTTAAAGTTGTTTTAGTAATACTGACTTTTTAAAAAGAAAAACTAATTGTAATTTGAAAAACTTTAAATTACATATTTGAGAAAGGAAAAAAAAAAATCAAATATTAGCATATTTTATAATCTTTTTTAAATGTTTAGTTATAATGTTTAGTATAGACAAAACATGATTGCATCAAGAAAATAAACAAATGTTTTTATACTTTAAAAAACGAGAAGCAAAAGAAACATTCCAAAACATTTTTAAATAATAACATTTCTACATTGTTGATTAAAAATAATTTTGTGGTAATTAAGTAAATTGGTGTAGTTCATAAAAAGCTTCAGTCAATAAATATGAAAAGCAAATTTAATGACGTCAAAAATCAGGTCGTGCTTATGCAGTTTTTATTCATTGCAAGACCTGTACATTTAACTCATACCCTGGATCAGTCGAACTTTTACTAAGTCAGATGGATTTTCAACTCCTCTTGAACTCTCTTTACTATAAAATCAGTTTACTATAAAATCATCCGCTTAAGTCATACCCTGGTTAAGTTGGACCATTACTAACTTGTACTATGTTTTGGAATTCCTTTGGCAAAAAAACTTTGCTTAACTAGGACTTTTATTTTGAATTGCATATAAGTGTTCATGATAACAGAGCTTCCAATTATTTAATAAAAGTTCCAAACTTTGCACTCTCGAAAATAAAATACAATTGCGTCAAATATATAATTAAACATAACTAAACATTTTCACTGATATTTTCGATTCGGTTAAGATTTGATTAAATTTTATTTATTAAAAATCAAAAGTTTCTAAAGGAAAGCTAACAAGTAGAAGATTGGAAGAGTAGCCTTATTAAAAGAGTAGCTTTATTAGAAGAGTAGCCTTATTTGAATAGTAGTCTTATTAGAAGAGTAGCTTTGAATGCTTCAAAGCTGTTTGAAAAAGAATTGTTTGAGTCACTGAAACAAACATCTGTTTCGGACTTTTATTGCTTATATCTTTTTATATATTTTTGGTTATATCTTTGACTAATAACATCGCTGAAACATTTTTTGAAATTATATTTAAAACAAAACTCATAAGTATTTAAAAAAAACTTGTTAAAAAATTTTTTACTTTCTATAGACAACTCTTTGTGAAAAGCTAAACTAAACGATTTAGACCTTCTCTACCATTTTGCTTTGCAACTTTTTATTACCATTCTCTTAAAAAGGTTTGTCGCATGTAATGTTTCAGTATTATTAAATTGGAGTTCATTTCTGAAATTTAGCCAGTTAAGTGAATTCAACTAAATTTCCCACAGGCCAAACTCACTTGAAAACCTTTGGTTGGGCAATAATAAGTAAGCCTAATAAATCCTTTGGTTAAATAAAAGGCACATAGAGATATGTGGTCTTTCCAGCTAGTATAGCAAGAACACTGAATTTCTGCAATTGGTTTTTGAAGAAACTAAAGATAAGAATGAAAAAACTAAAGGACAGATGCTTTACAACACTTAAAAGTTGTATCATCAAACATTGTGTTAAACTCAGTATTCAGATGGTTTAGCAGGGGAACAGTGATAACCAATTTAATAATTTGAAATGCAATTTTTAGACTTGTTCAAAGTATATTTAAAGGTGTTCATTAACAATACTTCTAAGTATAAAGATAAAATCTTTTAATACTTGTGTAAGATTCAAACTATAAAAAATATTATTACTTGCTTGCGTGTTATTACACAGTGCAACAAATAAATCAAAGTTTGTTATTAACTTCAGCAGAGGTTGCACGATTAAATGTTACATTGGTATTTAAAGACACTCTTTGATACAGAAAACTACATAAATAAAAAAACTTTTGTAAAGCATCTATGCCATGATTTCACAATTCATAACATCCAAAGAAAAATCAGTAATAGATTTTATTAAGACACTAAATAAATAAGTTTTTCCTTTAAGTCTATATTGAGTAAAATAGGGCAGAAAAATCAATTAAAATTTTTTCATAACTTAAGTAACAATGCTCTTTGAAAAGAATAGAGACAATAATTCTCATTATTCTCATAAAGGGTAAATAATTTGGTTAAATAGTAATTTATACTTGATAACTCTAAAATCTGGATATAAAATTTTTTGCCACAAATGCTTGATCAACAAAGAAAACTAAGAAAGAAAGACTAAATTTTATCGATGCAATTATATACAGCTTCTTCTTGTATAACTTTGTCTTCCTTTTTTATATCCTAAGGATATCGTGATAACAAAAATTCCACACAATTATTATAATATTTATTTGCCCAAATTTAAAGGAAATGATGTTTTTCTCCAACGGACTAATTTTTTCTTTGAAATGCCATATAAACTTGCAAATTAGGCGACATTTTGAACTGACAATGGCCATATTTATGTTCCATGAAATTCCATAATTTAAAAAAATTGACAAAAGTACAAATAAAGCAGGGTGTATGTTGAAAGGGCAGTCCGAATTTTATTTTCTACATTTCAAACTTTCTCTCTGCTTATTTATTATTTAAAATGCAAGTTATTAAAATGATATGTAGTCTAATGTAATAAAACTAGGGATGTCTATTGATATATTTTAATGTATACTCATTGTTACTAACTAATTTTGCCTCATGATTAAAGTTAAACAATAAAACCTCATAAAAATTTTACTCAGGGTGTATGTTTGAAGGGAAGTCCGAAATCTGTTTTGACTAAAAAAGGCATTTTGATTTTTTTTTAACAAATGAAAGAAAATATTTAAAACATAAAGTTTTATATAACAAAATAAAATAAGGTATGTCAATTCAAGTTTTTAATTAAGTTATACAACTCAAAAGTTAGTTCAACCTCTGTCAAAATAAAGTAATCGTTTTTTAAATTATCGCAAAACTTTGAAACCGAAATATTATTATGTTTTCCGATTTTTAATTTTTTTTCAACCGCTTCAGATAATAACTGTGCATAATTTTTTTAGTTTTGCTGCAGTTAGGTTTTAATAGTTATAGTAAAACTTTTTTTTTCAACAATATAATCAAGTTGAAAAACTTTTATTTAACTTTTTTGGGTTTTCCAATGACGTAGCAGACATCCCCTAGACACGTCCCTGATATATATATATATATATATATATATATATATATATATATATATATATATATATATATATATATATATATATATATATATATATATATATATATACATATTTAAATCACTTATCGTTTTTAGTTTTTTTGCACAATTTTTTGTAAATGAAAACTCAGTTTTAATGAGTCTTTATTAACAAAACATTGTATATAAAGACTGAAGTTGATAAGTGATTTCTACTAATTTATTGCTCTATTCTTTTAAGAACATTGAGCACTATTTTATAGAATACATTTATAATTGTTGTTGACAGTTTTAATGCAGTCACTCGTAAAAGTTTCTATATGGTCCCACAACATTACCTGAATATTGGCAGATTTTTAAAGTTATATTTAGGGGTTCCCCAATGATCATGAAAGTTTTGAAAATTAGGTAAAACTGCATTGGTGTCTCTGGAGTTTAAAATGTTTATTATGTATTATTTCATGCAATATGGATTCATTAATCTGATATTTGTAGAACTAAAAAGCTGATAATTAGTAGAATATAGAATAATATTCTTGAAATGTATAATTCTTAACAAATTTAGTTTGTGTGAACTGAGATGGAAAACTCGAAAAAAAAAACTATTTTGAAAAAACAATTTTCTTTTAACTTTGCTTGCAAGCGCAAGTCCAATTGCTAAACATTGACACACTGTGACAGTCATATAACATTTTAGGTGACTCTAATAGTCACAATGTTATATGATAAACATTTAACAATGATACATAATTAGTTGTAATTACATATTTGTCAGCCTTGTCTATTTCTACAGTTTACACTAAACACTCTTTATTTCTACATGTCCAGAAGATCATCATGATTGCATTTTGAAAAGTCTCTAAGCTTTTCATTGATAGTGTTTTTGTTCTTCATCTTTTGTTATTGTTGCATTAAAATTCTGGAGAAGTGCAATACCATATTCAGCACAGTCATTGGCAAAGGCTAATTTTTGACAGGTTCAAATTCATTCTTGTAGAATTGGTTTTCTGACTATTCTTCAAAGGAATATTGAGAAAACTATCATCGATGGCAGTAGTTCTGAAAAAGCTTCAAGATACTGATAATTCAGACGTTGTACAAGGTAGACTCTAAAGAGAATTAATCAAATACGATCCTTGACCATCTTTTATTTTTGACACAAGCAGTGCTTTCTCTTTACAAGATACATTCTGAGAAAACAGAGCAAGAGTTGCTAGCTTTTGACTCAAATGCTATGAATGTTGCACCATCATTTTCAGACCTGTTTTCTGCAAGGCAACATTGTAGTTGTATAACTGTTGAACAAGGAAAATGTCATTGAATGGTGCATTAGCTGCTGTTCGGCATGACATTCAAGATTGGAGATATACATTTACTACTAATCTATTGAATCTCTGAATTCCCTGTAATTCACAAGCCGTTAGTTTTAGTACAGTTTCATTGCCATAAAGAAGCAACTTGGTCGTTTAGTTAGCCTTTGCCATCCATCATGCTCTGTGAAGAGCACTATGTTTTTGTAGAGCTGCAGAACTGTTCAAATTCAATCGAATTATCAATGCTGCAAGTTAAAGAAATTCTAGATAATCATCTCGTGTCTGAAAAAGTTGAAGCTCAGCAATGAACTTCTTTAATTTGTCACTTGCAGAGATCAAAGGTGTTGATTAAGGATTTGGTTGATGGTATACCAAGGTTTGAACCTCTTAAAAATCAAAATTCAGGCCCAGTTGATGGGCAGAGACACTTCAAATGAACCTCTAGTATGTGATGATGACATGCCATCCGCAGCAAGTCATGACCGATTGCTGCTTCCAGAAATGTGCAGGCTCCATTAATCTGCTTATGTTAAAGTACATGCCTTTAACTAGCAAATCACATTGCCATGACTTTAAAAGTGCCAGAACTGCCTCCATTGCTGACTTTCCTGACTCTGAGCTCCACTTTTGTACACCCAGAAGTTTTGTGCTTTCATCATCAAGAGTATATATTAAAACTGGCAATCCACCTGGTTGGTATCAACTCTTGTGATGTCAGTCATTTAATAAAAACTAACTTTATTTAAATTATCAAAAAGTATTTTTAAAAAAAGCTTATTGAAACGCATTCGTTATTGCCATTGTTTATAAAATTAAGAATACAAATTGTTTAAAAAAAATTACATTAATCAAAAAAAAATACATTTTGAAATAAATAAAAGTTTTATTTAATATTCTATGAGATTTATTTAAAAGCATTTAACTTAGTGTAAACAAATTTTATTATAAAGTTTACATAGCATGACAAAAAAATGTTTTCAACTATTAAATTTATGGGTTCATCAAAAAGTTTATTAAAACAATCATTTTCGTTGCTGTTTATAATATTAATTGTACAAATTGTTTTAAAAACATTTACATTCATCATAAAAAATAAACTTTTTAACAAAATAATATCTTTTAATAATTTAAATAAATGTCTTTTATAGTATACAATCTTATAGTAACCTTAAACTTTATTTAGCACATTTTTAAAACGTTTTCAAAAATCTAAAAAGCCATGGTTAAGTAGTCACAAAAAAAAAAAATCATGGTTAAGAATAGAGTGCTATTGCACACCTTTCCTGTCCAGGACTGCTGATGAGTCATTTAAACCTTAAATCCTTCATTGTATTGTAAATACATAATTTTTCCAAACAGACAACACATTCCTTCAGCATTTAATTCTTCTTATGCGTTGTCAGTAGTTAGGACAATAAGATCTAGCAAATCTTGATTAGTTTCTGTTTCTCTTATCAAAGTTCTTTGTACTAAACAGAAACACCTCTTCCAGTCAAAACATTACTAATTGTCAGGTGCAGTTTTTTTCCTACTTCAAGCTATTCATTGGTTGTTGGGAAATAGGTGCTTTTTGAGTCAAAAAGAAACCTTAATTTTCTCATTTGCTTCTTACTTAGTGTAAGGGAATGCATTAAAGCAATGGATTCATTTATTGTTTCAATATGATTTGCAAAAATAGCATTTCCAACATGAGCAATACTTTTGTCATTTTGTTTGTTTGCCTTCTGATTAAAGTTAAACAATAAAACCTCATAAAAAGGTAACCCAATAACATGCAACTCTGGGCACTCATTAGTAATAAAGTTGTTTATACAATTGAGAAGTTCCTGTGTCCCCTTGTTTTTTCTTAAAACCCAGTTCTGCAAAAGATTTTCATTGTTTTGAAAAACTCGGTTCTGTTATGTAAGCATCCTCTGCTTAATAAATGATATCTTTTGATTCTTGTGAAAGTATAAATGCATATCCACTTTTCTTGAAATGTTTTTCTTTTAGGCATTTATAACATTTCCATGTTTTTTCACACACATTTTCAAACTCCTGTGAATTAACTGATAGTTCAAAGTTTTTATAAATTATTTCTTTAATGGCTGAACATGTTACTTAGTTTGACTTAACAGTTTTTCCAGCTTAATAAATTGTGTAAATAAATCTATTTCTGTGATGTATTATGCATTTTTATTTTCCATTACATTTATTTTTTATTTTATTTTTTTTCTGCTAAAACAAATACAAAATCATATCAAATAAAATTAAAATTAACTGAAACTTAACTAAAATTAATCTACTTTAAGAAACAAAAAAAAAATACCTGATCATCTTTTTAAAATCATCTAAATAAAAAATAGTGCTAACTTGCCTCATTTCCCCTTAAAATATTTGGAAAGAAGAATTTTAAAATATTTTAAAAATGTATGACACAGTAAAAGCATAATCATGTATTTCTAGATTCTACTAATCAATTGCTAAATTAGGCTAAAAGATTGATCATGGAAGCATAGGACTGGTGCCAAAAACATTTCAGAGCTCGAAATATGCCTATGCAGTTTTGCCTGTATATTTTATTTTTAAAATATTCATAAATTCTGGTGTTGTTATGGGACCATAACAACCCTTTAGGAGGGACTGCATCTGCGAATTAATTTTTTTTTGGGAGACTCTAATTTAGTTGTTTAGTTTACTTATTTACATATTTAGTTTAGATGGCTCTAATAGCAAACAAATGGGGGCTTATATCAACGACACTTCTGTGCAATATCAAAACTGTAATATGAAAAAAGTTGTTGTGGATAACAAGCCTTGTCTTTGTTTATTTGCAATTAAAGATATAAAGTCTGGCACGGAGCTTAGATACAACTATGGTGATAAAGCAGATAACTTATGGTGGAGAACTGATGTATGCTAAATAAACTGTTCACGCACACAAACGCACACAGACACACACACACACATGCACACAGACACACACACACACACACACACACACACACACACACACACACACACACACACACACACACACACATATATATATATATATATATATATATATATATATATATATATATATATATATATATATATATATATATATATATATATATGGACAGACATGGATGATAATTGTATATTCATGCATGTCTGTCTCTCTCTCTCTTTCTCTCTCTCTCTCTATATATATATATATATATATATATATATATATATATATATATATATATATATATATATATATATATATATATATATATATATATATATATATATATATGATATATATATATATATATATATATATATATATATATATATATATATATATATATATATTTAATAATTATGCTAATTTCCAAATATAATTATATATTTGCTATATATGCTCAAATAACTGAAATCTTTCCTGCCAATCTATCAGATGCAGTCAATATTCTCATTCTCTGTTATATATCATCATCTTTTTTTTCTTTTAGAGTGACATTCATCTAATATTACCATCATACCTTGCTCTTCAAGGAACTTCTTTCTGTTTTTACAGCCCACATTTTATTTTTATACATCATTGCTTATGTCCAAAAAGTTTTCCAATAATACATCTTTGAACATATATTTATATAAAGTTTGTTTTACATATATTTTAATAATTTTTTTTTTTTTTTTACCTTTTCAGTAATGCAATTTAAAATTTGAAAAAAATTCTATTAAATTGTGAAAAAAATTCCATTAAAATCATATGAAAGCTAAATGCCAACTTATCGAAATGCTAATTAATAAAAATTCTTTTAAAAAATATTCTCCTATCCTAAATATTTTTGCAAAATAATTACCGGATTTTTAAAGTATGACCTTGATAATCACTGTTTATTTAACATTAAAACACCAATATAAGTGCAAGTTAATTATAGCTTTAATTAAAGACAAATTTTTTTCTTTTAATTTTAACTTATTTCATATTTTCTTAGTTTTCAAGTTCCGATTCAAAATTGTTTTGAAGCAAAAATAACAATGGTTTGATAAGTGGGTTTGTAATTTATGAAGAGATTTTTTTGTTCAAAAGTGTTGCTGCACTTTTTTTTTGCAAGAGAGTTACACATTTGATATCTTCCATAAGAATAAATTTTTAAAGGTTTTCTTCAATGATAATTATTTATTTGACCATTTACACCTATTTACTCCTCACAATTTACTTGGAAAGTACCACAAATAAAATCTTATTATTAATCCCGATAAAACAAAATTAACAAATGCAAGGCTTGAATGTTTTGAATGCACTCTAGAAATGTAAAAGTTTCAATAAGAAGAAACACATGGCACTGAATAAGAAGATGTTAGGCAAAGATGGCTGATGTCAAATAAAGTATTTTGTACATTAGAGCTGAACACATGTTTCAGCAAACACCAATGAAAAAATTATTAAATTAAAGAATATTTGTAGAACTTGTTTATTTGAATATTGCATAGAAAAAATCCATTTTATTAAAAAGTTGTACATATTGACCCTATCAGATTTCTAGGTATGTGATATTTGCAGTAGTTCTATGGTTAATTGTCAAGTTATAACCACTTATTTAACAATTTTTTTATTGTATATTTGTTGTTTTAAAGCATTATTTTTCAAACCCTTTATCCAACATTTGAGATACATTTCTCAAACGCTGTTTCCAACATTAGAGATAAATATACTAATTGTATCCATTAGTATATTTATCTCTAATGTTGTCTTCATCCCTTTTCAAACTTGAGACTTTGGTTCCATTTCACCATTTAGAAAGTAAATTATTTTTATAAATTATATATATTAAAAAAATATATAAGCTTTTTTTTTAAAAACCTTTCTTTTTTTTGGGTAATAAATTTAATAATATCTGCTTCAAAATTCAAATTATTTTCAGAAAACATTACTCCAGCCTTATATCCTATCGGATGGAACTTGCGTTCCAGCTGTAAGTGTTTTTATTTGTTATTTGAAAAAAAAAATGTTTTTAATATTCTGGGATTAAATCTTTAAAATTTAATTCTTTAAAATAATGATGTTTATATTTATATTTAAATTATTTTCATATCATGTGAAATTATTATAACTAATGATAAAATGATAATGATAATGTAATATGATTCTTCTACAAAATTTTTGGCTTGATATTTAAATTATTCTCACATTTTGTATGTGATTTTTCAACAAAATTTTTATCTTCAGTTTCTTGTTGTTTTTTTCTTATAAGTTAAAATAAAATAGAAATATAATTAACATTTTAGGTCATTTTATAAAAAAAAAATATTAGAAACTTGTTTGTTGCGTTATGTGTGTGAATTATGTTAAACTTGAAAATTAAATTGTACATGATAAAAACCGTGATATTTTTAAATGTTGCTGCCTACATATAGATTTTAAATTTTTTTTTACTTTTTTTGTCCTTGTAAAAATAATTGTTGAATAAATTGCTTTCTAAAGAATAACATTAGATTGTTGTTTTTATATTGAAACGGCAGGAATGTTTAAAAGCTTTTAAAGTAAGAAATTATTTTTATATTTTTACGTTATTTAACATTTATATTTTTTTTGTATCATTAGATAAGCAAACAACACAGTTTAAAAGTTTCAGAGGTTATTAATTGTTTAAATTTTACAAAATTTTCTTTACTCATGATTTTTAAATATTTTAAATAAATTTACAAAAAATAATAATTGTAATATAATCATGGAATTTTTGATGAAATAGAATTAATTTTTACTTTTTTAACTTATCAGGTTTTGAAACTTATGAAAAATGAATCCTTACCTGTCGAGGTAACTTTATTATCTAGTTTATAGTCAGTATGCCACTTTCAATGATTTGCAAGTTGTTATAATATATATATATATATATATATATATATATATATATATATATATATATATATATATATATATATATATATATATATATATATATATATATATATATATATATATATATATATATATATATATATATATATATATATATATTAAAATTATTTGTTTTTTTTTTTATACATGCACTCATTAAAATTATTTTAGAAATCAAAGGTGGTTCAAAACACCAGCAAAGTCGAATGTATGTTTAAATTTGTTGTTAACTTATTACTGTTTCAACTGTTGTTTTTTGTTGTTGTTGTTGTTGTTGTGAAATCAAATACTTTATAAATATATTTATTTTTACAGTCTCAAGCAAATCACTCAATCCTCCATTTATTAAAATTGAGGACAAATCTAGGTTACTTTTTTAATTTTAATATGTTGAATTGCATATGGGGTTGTCCATAAATCATGTCGCGCTCTAGGAGGAGGGGGGGAGGGGCTAGTGGTTTTGTAAATACTTATATGAGACTTACTAATGAGCATTTCCAAAAAATCATGCACAAAACATTGCATCTGTTGCATCAGTTATTTTAAAAAAAAATGCATTTTGTAATCTCTAACTTAATTTTAAATGACATGTATATATATATTTCCTATACAAAGTATGGTAGCTATAGTTGCTTCATTGTAGAATAACTTAATTTTTTAATGGAGTCACCCACGGAACAGAAAAAAAGCAAAAAATTAAAGTTTTATAAATGAACCCTATTTTCTCTGAGAATCTCTGAAAACCCTGTTTTCTTAGAAAAAAATTTTTTTTTACTATTCAATTCAGTTTTACTTTAGTAAAAAAAATCAGTTTCATTGAAACTTATTAAGTCTTCTATTCCCAAATAATTAGAACTTTAAAATCAAGTTCGGAAATTCAAAATACCCTTCACTTTGGCATAAAATGATACTTAGTTGCAATTTATGATAATGAAATATTAAAACACATCATCTTTAAGAATTAAAAAATATGGACAAGGAAATCAACTTTAAACATCATAAGCACATATAATAAGAACTTTTTTATTTTGTCCTGAAAAATGTTTATATTTATTGTGAAGTTTGAATAATTAAAAAATGAAGAAAGATTTATCTCCTATAATTTTTCTTTTGAATAATCAAAATATTACGTATCTTCTTTTGGATTCCATCTTTATTGTTTTTAAATTTTTTTTTTTTTTTTGACTTACTGGAATGGAAATGCCCTAAAGTGTTACAATGTTGTAACGAGGGGAAGTGGGTCAAAAAAGTTTGAAAATTTCATGGCATAATTTATGGATGACCCCTATCCTATAACTTTGTGTAACCCTGAAATATATATATTTTTTTAATTTCACATCCGTTTTTCCACAGTTGTGTGATTTGGACGGTTCTTTATAATGATATAAATGCCATTATGAAAAAGTAAAAGGATAACCTGATATATATATATATATATATATATATATATATATATATATATATATATATATATATATATATATATATATATATATATATATATATATATATATATATATATATATATATATATATATATATATATATATATATGTATATATATATATATATATATATATATATATATATATATATATATATATATATATATATGTATACATAAGTATATATATTATTTTTATTATTATTATTATTATTAATTTTTTTATTCAGATTGTATAGGCCAATGTACAAAGAAGAAATTGAATCTGGTTTTCCCTTAATCTTTCATTTAAAAGAAAGTTTCCAAGTCAATTTAAATAACGAAACTATGTACGTTTTTTATTACAATTTAGTTTCTGCATGTGTGGGTGTGCATATATATATATATAAATATATAAATATATATATATATATATATATATATATATATATATATATATATATATATATATATATATATATATATATATATATATATATATATATATATATATATATATATATATATATATATATATATATATATATATATATATATAAAGTGATATTGCATACTTTTGTTAGCATTATGGCAGTATACTGATTTTGGGGTAAGCAAGGGTTTCAGTACACATATAGACTGATTTAGGAAGAACCAGCATGGGAGTTGCTGACACATCTCCTCTGGGTTTGGGTTAGGATAGCGATAAGTCAGGTTTTTTTTTCATTTCAGGGTAAATTTTTACATTACTCTTTATTTATATGTATTTAAGTAATATTTGAACACAAGTGTCTTTTTATTTATTTTAGAACTAAAAATTGCAAATCTTACTGTGAGTGTTGTGAAGTTAAATTTGAAGATTTAAAATTGGTATTTGATATTTTGTTAAAAAGTTTATCGATTTCATTTTAATAATAAAGCCATAGATGATTTTCAAGATTTTATTTCATATCTTCAGTTTTCATACATATATATAAGTTTATTGTTAATTTAGTTATTATTAAATATAGTTTTAGTACTAATAATAAACTTGTTTTTATATTCAGCATTTGAATGGAAATCAACACAGACAATTTGCTTTAAACAGTAATAACTATGCAGGTGTTGATGATATTATAAAAAGTTTTTCTTTTGAAAAATTTCTTTTGGAAATTGAAAGTAGTTTAAAACATAATGTTACGTTATCAAGTTTAACTTCTATTGAAGAGACACATGTTCATTCCGATAATAAACATATAGTTAGTGAAGTTAGTGAAATTAGTAGTGATTTTGTTGATTTTAGTTTATCAAGTGATAAAGAAAAACATAAAGTAAATGAATACGAAAAAGTTGATCCTGAAGTTGTAAATTGTCTCTCTATTGCTAAAAATGAAAATATAACCATAAAAAAGACTATTCAAAGAGAAAAAAAGATGTGTCCTGAATGCAGTGCAAATGTATACAACATCCCAAGACATTTGCAGGGAAAACCCCATTATTGGTCAAAAGAAAAAGCTCTTGCTGCAATTAGCATATATGGACTTAGGAAAAAAAAAATTTTAATAACAGAACGAAAATCAAAAAGTTATCATCGCAAGCGAACTTGTCCAATATCTTCTTGTTCAAAAGTTATTTTGCATTTAAATGAACATCTTTTAAAAGTTCATAAACTACCCAGAAATTCACAATATTATACATTGCTAAAAGATGCAAAAGTATATGTTGAAAGCTCACAAAATCAAATTAATAATTATGGCAACATTGAAAAAATTTCAACAGCTGCAAAACAAATAAATGAAAAAAGAGAACAGGTTCAACTTGTTCACAATCATAATAAAAACTCAAAAATTTCAGTTTTGGAGTTTAATTTGGATGAACAATTTAAAACTGATCAACCCCAAACTGAACTTCAATGTGCACAATATGAACAAAACCAAGAAAATCATAATAATGAATCAGATTTAGAACAATATTCAGATTTTTCTGATTCACTAAAGTCAGATGATTCTGAATATATACCTGATGAAATTTTAGAACCAAAGTGTGGTCCTTTTGTTGAAGGGCTTTTTGCACAATTTCATAAATTTATGATTGGGCCTGATAGAGGCAGAAAAGAGTTATCGATACAAAGTGTTGTTGGAAACGTAAGACGAATTTTTGAAATCATTGGAGTCAACAATGATTTAAGAATTGTTTTTTTAGATATTAGTAAAAGTGTAAGAGATAAATATCTTACAACATATTGTGTTGAGAAAAGTATAAAGCCTGGGGCTATAAAAACATATTTATATTCATTAAAAGATTTTTGTGACTTTCTTTTAGCTGAAAATATATTTTTAGAAGGTATCACTAACCAACATATTAGTGAAGCTTCTATGAAGTTAGATCAATGGAGGAAAAAATATAAAGCTCATGATAAAGTACAAAAACACATACGAGCTGAAGAAGACTTTGAAATGCTTATTACTTCTGAGCAAGTTAGTTTATATGAAAATAGTCAATTTGCTAGTAATGCCAGAAATATGATAAAATCAACTGAAAATCTGCCTTTTTCACCAACAGATTATTGCTGTGTAAGAGACCATTTACTAACTATACTTATATTTTCTAATGCGCCACGGTCAGGTGTCCTTGCTAGAATGACTGTAACTCAGTTTGAAAAAGCTGTTATTTCAGATAATCGTGCTGTAATAAGTGTTAAAGACCATAAAACATTTTCTACTTATGGAGCAGCGAAAATACAGATCCTAGAAGAACATTATAAATGGGTAAACACTTTTATAAAAAAGTTTAGAGCTTGTTTACCCATTCAGTGCGATAACGTTTTTCTTGCTCGGTCGGGGCGCCCACTTTCACCAGGAGATATTAGCAAACGCCTTGATAATTTGTGGAGGAAATGCAGGATTTTTAATGGGCGCGTTATTCCCAAACATTTATCGGCTAATATTGTTAGGAAATCTGCTTCAACCAATTTAAGAGAAGCAAACAGTAAATTTGTGAAAGAAGCCGCAAAAGCAATGATGCACAGTGATCGCACTGCTGAAGAACATTATGCCATACCCAACATGGTAAAATCTGTTAAGTCTGGTCTAGAAGAAATTCGGCAACAATTTTACAGATGCACTACGCCAAATGACATTTCATTAAAAACAGATGATGCTGTAAATAAAGACCCAAGTATGGAATCTCATCCACTTATTGGTGATAATACAGTTCATCAAAAATTAGAAAAAAAAGAAACAATTAATCAAACCTCAAACATTATATCTACTATCACTACTCCACACAAAAAAGCTTGGTTGCCAGATGAAATTAAAGTATTGAAAGAGGTTTTCCCAAGCGAATCACCATCTGTTAAAGAAATTAAAAAAGTTCATTCACATCTGAATATTGATGCCTCGCCAATACAAATCTACAATAAGTTTAGTAGCATTCGCAGGTATTCGCCACACTGCAAGGTTCGTTTTTTTTGTATTTCAAATTTCTCTCAAATCAGCTCTCAAATAGTTCTTATTAATTAAACTTTTAATAAAAGATTGAGAATGCAATTTAACACTAGAATTATAAAAAAGAAAAAAATAAAGTTGCTTGTACATGAAAAACCATATTAAGTTTTTAAATTAACTTATATAATCATATGGTAAATCTTTTGCAACTAAATGGTTTATTAGCGACTCGGAGCAATCAATAAATAAGTGATTTGACAGCAAAATTATTGATCAAATGATTATATGTTCTAAAGGATAACTTTATGTTTGGCTTACAATTTGACTGGAATAAAAAATTTAAAAGCAAAATATACAAGTGAAAATGTTGTGCAAGTTTATGAATTTAAGAGGTGAACCAGTTGCTGCTTTATGTAATTTAATAAAAGCTTTTGGCTTCCTTGACTGGTACTTTTGAGTGTTTGAAATCTACTATGAAGATATTTTAAGTTTTACTCAGAAATTTATTTAAAAAAAATATATTTCTGAGTAAAACTTAAAATATCTTGTTTATTGACAAGAATTGTATGTAGCTTTTCTCATCAAAAGTAATATTATAAATATGGTTATATTGCCTATATCTTTTATTTTAATAAGTTTTTCATAAGTTTGAGCACTCCATTTGAATCTATTTTTCTTGAAGAATGCACTTATACATTTTGTAAAGCATCAAACTCAGATTTTTTTTTTTTCAATCATAAGTCACATGATATTTGCGGCAGTCATTATTGATAGTTGATTTTTTCATCAAAATTTTATACATATGATTTCTATTTTTATACATATAATTATATTTCAGGAAATATGGTTTTGTGGTGTATAGTGTATATTATATATCTTTATTCTATCATTTTTAGTGTAGTTGATTTTTACTTTCCACTAATATTAAATTTATGTGCAAAAGATTTACAATGGATTATTTTTAAATTTTTATTTGGTTCACCAAAATCTCTGATCAAAATATTCTTCAATATTCTAATCAAAATCTCTTTTCAAAGTATTCAAAATCTCTGTAAATATTGTAAAACACTAATTTAAATAAACTCAGTTAATTTTACTTTATAAATTGTTAGGAATCTAAACGAGCACTTTTTTCCAAAAGTCGTATGTGCAAATGGAAACCACATCATATTAACACCCTTCGAACTGTGGGGGCTGATTTACTCTCAGGCAGTTCCCTTTCTGCAAGTAAAATAGAAGAAGTGCTTAAAGGAACAGAAGTATGGACTGATTTTTCTATAGCACAAATTCGAACACGTGTGAAGCACGAGAAAGATATATTTGCGAAGACTTGCATTTGATTTCACAATTGTGAGTCTTCACATTAAAAACTTAGTCTTCACATTAGAAACTTAGTTTTATATTTTTTTAGGTTTTTAGTAATAGTTTTGTTGGCAAGTTTATTTATGGAATTGTCTTAATGTTATTTGTTTTGTTTTTTAACAAATTTAGTTTATTTTCTAGTTTTAAAATATTTAAGTAGCATTTGTTAGCTTTGCAAAATGACAACTTCAAATTAAATTTTGCTACTGCTGTAGTTTTTCTTGAGGTTTTGTTGATATTTCAGTATTATGCTTTGTATAACTTGAGAGAGTGCTTTAACTAGTTTTACTTAGATAAATCCAGCAAAATATAAAGGCTTTATGTAGACAAAGTTTGTGGTATTTTTTTGGTTTTGTAATCTAAAGTACAAAAATGTACTGTATATCACTTATTAATAAAACCAAAGTGAATTCAATCGTTTACCAAGCTTTTTCGAAAACATGACTAATTATTACATACTTTACCATACACTGTTATATCTAGTATTTTGATAAATTTATTATTATTTATTTTTAGGTAATTTTTATTCAACTAAGTATTCTATCAAATTTATTAGAGAAAAATCCAAGCTGATCATAATTCTTCAATGTGAACTTCTTAAAAGTTTACTTTTTATGCAGCAAAATAAATTTAAAACACAAAAAAGAAAAACCCCAGATTTAACAGAAGGAGTTTAAAAATAAATGCAACATATGGTAACATGTTTCCTATTTTCTAATATAGTAAATATAAATTTTTTAGATTTTTGATTTTAGAATTTAAATTATTTTTAGATAAAACAAATGGTGTGTATTGTGAAATAAACTTTGTGTAAAATTATAAATATTTATTAATGATAAATCATTCTATATTATTGCTGAACTTAACGCTGCTGCTCACCATTCGTGCGCCTTTACACAGACTTTTTTACCATACTTGGCCTTTCAGTTTTATTATCTCACGCAATGAGGTACTTTCAAATCTTAAAGATCTGTCAATATCTGCCTAATTAGTAATGAGATCAACTTTGCTTCATCAGCTTAATTAGTGATAAGATCAACAATTTTTATTTAATAACTTCTGTAGTAAAGGATAAACCTTATGTTATTTTTGAATTAGTAAAGTAACTTTTAAAGTCAGGTGATTTATTTAATTCATGCATTATAATAATAACGCAATTCAAGTCCTTTGTCAATTGTATTTAAAGTATATTAATCTGTAATTTTTAAATTAGAAGGCGATGATGACTCAAGAAAACGTTGCTCTTTTCAAATGCAAGAGGTCAAACTTTTGATAAAGTTAGTGCTTATCTTCAAAACCCTTGCATCTCACACGGTCAACTCGATGTTACATGTTAAAGAATAAGATCGTTTAATACCTTATTTAAAAGAAGTTACAAAAAAAATCCGTTTGCTTTTATATAAAAAACCAGATCGTTTGATCGTTTGTTTTTGCAAGTTGTTAAACATTTATTACAAGGTATGTCATTAAACAAAAATAAAGTTGTGTTTGTAAAGTTTCTAATTTATATATTTTTTTCAATTTATATATTTATTTATATTTGTGCGTTATTTATTATGTGTTTAAATGTGTTAAGGTTATAAGGGTTATTTTGTAAGTGTGTAAATATCTTTTATATATGAAATGTTTCTATGTTTGTGATGTTTTATAATGTTAAGTGTTTATAGTTTGTAAGTAATTATTATGTTGTTTGCATGGTTTCAAATTGTTATGAATTACAGCGAGATTGTTTACCTTGCTGGCCAAGTGGTGTACTTTGCTATAATGTGACTTTGTTGAGAGCAAAGTCACATGTTAGCAGTGCTTGCTTAGCCGACAGGCCTTTTAATTTTTTAATTTGCTATATTTATGAGATCTAATATGTAAAAAAAAATTTTTTTAACTTGCTATATATGATAGAGTATAATAGATTATAGTATTATGCTCTGTATTATTCGCTTACACCTTATTTTAGATAAGTTTAAAAAAGAAAACTCAAAATTCAACTTTTATTATATTAGGCATTATTTTTACACACTCCTTTGATGCCTAATTATGTCTGATAATTTAAGAAATGAAATTGTTAGACTTCGTTGAAATGAAATAAGGCAAGCTTGGCGAGCTGAGATAAACCGCCGTCGAAATGAAAGATATGAGCCCAAGCGAGCTGAGATAAATTGTCGTCAAATTGAAAAAGATAAGCGCAGACGAGCTGGAATAAACCGCCGTCGTAATGAAAGAGATTACCCCAGGCGAGCTGAGATAATCGTTTTATTATCTCTGAATTAAAGTGATAATTGGGGACATTGTAAGTACATATTATCATCTAATTAAGTAAGTACATATTATCATCTAATATGTACTTACAGTGTAAAAGAACTTAAAATTCAGTTATTCACTTTGTATGTTCTTTATCGATGTGTCCATATCTGGTCAAGAAAACATTAATATATTTATTAAAAGAATCATTTTTGTTATAAATTAACGTTTTACTATATATGTATTTTTTGTTTTATTTATTTTTATAATATTACCTTAATTATCTCATGATGATAAAGTTATTTTTCATGTTTAGCTGCAAATATTAAGTATTACAAACATTTTAAATTTAGTTGTTATTTTATTTCTTTAGTTTTACTTTGGTGCTTTACCGACTATCATAAAATTACTTTGTCTACTGTTAAAATATGGTTTAAACTTAGTAAACTTTAATTATTTAAAATTTACTATGTTGATCATTAGCTAATACTTTTAAAATAAACCTGTTTGTTGCAATTAAGTTAAAAATAGTTTTATTTTTTATTCAATTTACATATTTTGTTTGCACTGATAGCTGTTAAGTTTTTGTTATTTTGTGTTATAGCTAATTATTTTGGCATTTTCTTTTCTTTCAGATTTTGACTAATAACAATGCTTTAGAAAAAACATCAGCAACAGATAAATTGGTTTGTAGTGTTAATAAGTAATGTTTTTACTTTTATCATATCATAGTTTTTTTTTTTAATCATAGATATATCTAACAACGCTTTTTCAGCATATTTCAGAACAAATAGAGAGACCCTAACCCACATCTCCTAAGGTGGGGGCCCAAGTTTAGGGCAAAAGCTCAACCCTCCTTTTGTGTGTGGATCCTGCTGAAAGTAAAATATGAGGAGATGGAGAGCGGTGGGAAAATAATACGCTACATCTTAGTAATTTTTATAGTTGGTTAATCTACCAATTGTTAATTGATGATGCAGATGCAGTTAAATTTTTTTCTGCAAATATAACTTTTCTTTACATTTTTGTTTTGTTATTTTGTATAAATATATAGTAATTGTAAATGATAAAACGTTTTTATATTTAATGATGTTTATAAATGTTTTTTTTTTTTTTTCTATAAATAAAAATTTGTAATGTTTTGTATATAAATTTTGTTGAAAAGGTTTCTGCTTTTTTTTATTGTTAAAATGTCATATATTTTGTTTCCTTCTCTAATGTTTTACTAATGGTTAATAAATAAAGGCAAAACGGAGATACGTCGACTGAGGGTTTAGGTTTGGGCAGGCATTCTTTAAATTAAAGAAAAGAGTTTTAATATTTATTTAAATAGGGTTAATAAAATATTTTAAACTATATTTAAAAAATTATAAAACTAAATTGCATAAGATTTTTAGATGAAACAGTCAAAATAAATGTTTAAATACATGCGTGCAAATAATTCCTATCCTAAACTATTTAACTAAACTAAATAATTCCCAATGCTAAACGTAAAAAAAATGCTTACAAACGCCAAAAGTATGTTTGCCGTTAATAAAATTAAGTTCAAAGATAAATGGTCTCAACAGTAAGATGTATTTTTAATTATTTTTATTATAAGTTGGGATGAAAAAAAGGTTTTTTTGTCGCTATTAAATATAAGTGCATTTTGAGCTAAAAAAAATATCATTCACATCAACTTGATCAATATAAATATGTGTTGCAACAGTCACTGATGCCATATTATTAACTTAAAAAATTAAGTTTTTAAATAAACTAACATCATCAGGCATGTAAAATAACAACTTAACTTTGTACAATAGCCAATCGAAAATTTGTCCATATAAATAAATACATTGTTTCAAATAAAAGCCTTTGACGATTTTCTGAATTATTTCGTTGTGGTAAAATAATTATTATATGTGATGAGTTTTAGCATTCTGAGTAATATTCAGAATGTTATAACTAACTTTAAAAACTATCACCTGGTAAATTTAGTAACATGTTCTTAATAAGTTTGAATTACTATTCTTTGAAAATAATTTCGGATAACAATTTAAAAACTGCATATAAATAAACATAAGATAGTCTTGCTTGAGTTTAGATGGACTTGAGATAACTCTGAATGTTTCTTAAAACTTTTTTTTTTTTTTTTTTTTGATATTTGAATTTTACTCATAGAGTCAAAATTTAATCATTTTTGGCCCCATACATTGTAAGATATTTTTTATTCACCTAAGGAGTATTTTTAACCAAAAATGGGCTTAAGATATTTTTGCTTTGCAGCGACGATATATCTATATTTTTATTATTTTTTCAACTTTAATTTATACTTTTGTCGTGATACGGGAATTCTACGAAACTCTTTTTGATAATAGCTTGTTAGGAAGATTTTAAACTTTTCCATATAAATTTTTGTTTTATAAAATAAATTTTATGTTTTTTAGCTTTGTTTTTTAATGCGACCTTATGTATTCATAAAGATTGAATACAATACAATGCATAGTTGGCAATACAATCATGCTGGGCACGTATGGTAGTGTATGCAATTTTCTATGAAGTTATACAAAGAAAAGAAAAAGTTATTAAAGATAATAAATTATCATTAAAACTTCTTTCTGTTTTTTCTAACTTTTCTATTTTTGTTAAAAATTAAAATTTATAAAAATTTCTTTAAAATTGTGGCCACGTAATGTTATTTTTAGTCGTCTTTTGGATACGTTGGTAACGTTAAAAATACAAATATGTAAACTTTAAACGTTATTGGACTAAAACATAAAGAAGTTGGGTATTGATTCTTAATGACGTAAAAAATCTGGAAGTCTCTGTGCGCCCCTGATAAAAAATAGTTGATAGTAATATTTAAAAGATGATTGCTAGGGGATTTATCACAGATGCCGAACATCATTTAGCCAGAACAGCATTGCTGAACACTTAACTAATTTGCCAGAAATTTCACGCCTTCTTTCGTTCGATTGTAGCATATATTGTAAAAGCAAGTCTCTTTGCGACAAGCTCAGGAAACCAGAACTTTAGCCACTGCACCACAGCTGCTAAACATCCTCGCTCTATATTTTGAAATGGTGACAAGGAAATAATACGTTGTAGATATAGATTAGGTTGAGTCGTATAGGCCAAAACTCATTGTAGATAAAAAATTTAATCTTTTTAGTCACTTGCAATATTGAAAAATGTCCCAGAGCCCATTTTGTTGCTTTGCGTTGAACAGATTCAACAAAGGTTAAATTAGTTTTTAAATTTGGAGTCTAAATAGGCACTGCATATTCATAGTGCTGGTCTTTATATAAAAACACTTTATGTAATTTAGGACTTATTGATTACAGTGATATTTTTTAGCTTACCAAGAATTTGTGGAGACAATATAATGCTCCATTTTAAGTTAGATGTAAAATTAACTCCCCATCACGCTAGTAAAGCTTCTTAGGCATTAATTTATACCTTGGTTACTTTGCAAAAAGTAAATTTAATTATCATCATAAATAACACTGCAACAATGGTTAATTTAAGTAAACAAGTTTTCCAAGCAAAGAAAACCCTGCAGATCTACGAAATTGAGATTTAGAGAATCCGCGGCGCAGTGGTAGTGCACTTGCCTCAGAAACAAAGGGTCCTTGGTTCAAACCCCATCTCTGGGCAAGTTTTGTGACATCGGTTTGGAAGGAGGCGCAAACTTTCGATTAAATGTTCATTCGCGGTGCTCTGTGATAAGACCGTGACTTCTTAGGGCACCTAAATAAAATTAAAAAAAAAAATTAGTCTGCAAGGAAGTTTTAGAAAAAATTTAGTATCATTGGCAAGTATTTCAGAAGTTGTAGTTAGGCGGGTAAGAAGTTGTATGTAGATGAGGCTTAAATCATATTTGTTATCAAGGATCCAATTATTCTGCTAAACGATATTGATTACTATTTAGATTGTCAAATAAATGGTTAATGAATTTTAACATAAGTTAATTCAGTATTACCCTCATTGGAAGAAAAACAGTTTCACAGTAGCAAATACACAATAGAGAGAGTAATGAGGTAACCACGCCTTGCTTAAGAAATTTCAATCATTACGAAATTAAAAAAAAATTATAATGCAACATTATTTTCACACAAAAAAAGTTAATTGTATATATATAAAGCATATTTGTTAGCAAGCTATCTTATAACCTTCCTAAAAGCATTCTAACATTCTGAATGATTGAACAAAACAGTGGTTTTTTAGGTTCGATTTTGAACTAGTGACAAATATCTAAGAAAACGCAGGCCTTTTTTTTTGTTAGTCAGAATAAAATACCCTGACCAACAGGACAATGACAGCAATTGAAACTACACTATGTAACATGACATTAAGTTTTTTTTTAAAGCAACAAGAAAAGAATGTGACTTTAGGGCAACATTGTCATAAAAAATGAAATTGTAAAAAATACATTTGTAAAGCACAAAGAATCGTATGCATACTCAGTAAATATTTTAAGTATCCATACATTGAAGCATTTGTACACATCACTGGATACAGGCGTGGATACAGCGAGAAAAAGATGATGTGGTTAATGCATTACCTCTACAAGACTTTTTTTTAACTCAAACAAATATGTTGTTGTCCGATAATCATACTCATGCAACGGTCATGTTTGACTACACATTATCTCATGCAATTTTTTTTTTTTTTTTTTTTTTCTATAAATTTTCACAACTACATATTAATTACAAATTTTTTACACTGCAATATTATAAAGAAACTGTACTTCCTAAACAAAAAAAAAAAAAAAAATACATTTTACAAAATACCGTTAAGTATAGGAAGCAATAATTAGGTATGCTATGACTTGATAAGAAGGGATTTGTTGTTGTAGGGAACTCGTAGAAGACTGAGATTAGTCTTATCATCGAGAACCTTGAGGTATTGCGTAAAGCACACATATAAACAATGTGATTCTCATTAAAGAAATGTTTTACATGTTATTATTGCAAACTTTTTTTTTCTTTTCTTTTTAATTGAACTATGTTTTGTGTTAGTGTTGAGGTTTATAATAATAATACTAGCTTTATTTGTTAAACAAAAATTTACATTTTCCATATGTATTTGATTGCTGATTATTTTAATTTGAGCGTAAATTCTGATTTACCATCAGAACTAGAACATTTTTAGGTAATTTTCCATATTAAGAACATGATTTTTGAGTTTCGACTTTAAAGAAGTTATATTGTCTGGGAGAGAAATCGAGGTATAATTCGGAATTAATTTGTTGAATAAATATGGGCCACGATAAGAAATAGAAAATTGAGAACTTTTTTTTTTTTAAGGGGTACAATAAAGTTACCAGTTGCTCTTGTGTTAAATTTGTTGATATTAGATTGAAAGAAGTTTCCTGTGAATCGGTTTGGAACTAATCCTAGTTTGTATTTAAGCATGAACAAAATGTTAGCGTAGATATTAATTTGGTAAATGTTTAGTGCTTTCATTTCTTTTAATAGGGGTTTAGCGTGGGTCAGTTTTTATGATGTATTATTCTAGAAGCATGTTTTTGTCGTCAATAAAGAGATATTAATTTTGTCTTGTGTGTGCTTCCCCAGGCTATGCTGGCATATGTGAGATAACTATGTATAAAGGAAAAGTAAAGAAGTTTTAGGTTTTTTTGCGATAAAAATGGTCTAGCTTTAAAAAGTATACCAATACTTTTAGATATTTTAGTGTTGATGGCATTTATATGAGCTGTCCATAAAACATTATCGTCAATAATCACACCAAGAAATTTAATTGTTTGGGTTCTTTCAATTTTTTTGTAGTCAATACTTAGTGTCGGTAGAATTGATTGTAGTTTGTTCTTCTGTTTCTTTGAGTGAAATGAAATATATTTAGTTTTTTGCGCGTTTAATGATAACTTGTTAGCACTGAACCATGTTTTAAGTTTTTTAAGTTCAAAGGTGACTTTATCAAAGAGGTCATTGATAGTGGTAGATGAATAGAACAGATTGGTATCATCTGCAAACATTATACAATCGAGATTTGTAGAGGCTTTAGGAAGATCGTTAATGTA